GTTCCAGTGAAGCCCAGCGCAAGCTGGAGGAACAACACCTAGTTTTTCCACTTGGGGACCCTACAGCCCTCCGGACTGAATTTTGAGTTCAACAGTTTTTAGGGCCTAAACTCTCCCATGTCCCAGCACCCCCACACGCATGCACACACACACCCTTGTTACCACAGAGCCTGCCATTACACACCCCCTGTTGTTAGTCACTAACAGTCCCCATTAACTATTCACCCTCCCAGCCTGATCGTTAGCAACTCCTTTGTCTGTCCAACTGTCTTTCTCTCTCTCTTTGGGCTTTATCCTATTGTTTACCCCCTACCCCGCCCATCTCCCTATTTTCTGCATATAAACTGACGTTTTCTTAGCCACCATCAATTCTAAGAAAGGGTCACCGGACCTGAAACGTTAACTCTGTTTGCTCCTCCACAGATGCTGCCAGACCTGCTGAGCTTTTCCAGCAACTTTGTTTTTGTTCCTGATTTACAGCATCCGCAGTTCTTTTGGTTTTTATTCAGTAGTTCTGCATAAACTGCTCAGCAGGTATTTGATTGCCTGTTTTGGCTTACAATTGATGAGGTGTGAAACAGCTGATTCAATTTGATTTTCCTTTGTTTGGAAGGTAAGGTTGAATCATGCAGTGTATTTTAATTGTTGGAAGTGAATAATTTGTTATCCCTTGAGCCAGTTTCTTGAGTAAAAAGACATGGGTCACCAGCATATCTCTGGTATGCTAAATTTGTAGACACTAGCAATTAACGAAGAAATTAGTAACTTGTGAATTCATCAAAATGTAGCAGTACAGAACATTGTATAATTCTTGATTCCTTCAGTGATTTCAAGCCACCCGTAGAATGAAGTAGTGAACACTATGTTCAAATGGAAGGAGAGTAGTAATTTGTGATTTGCTCAATATTGTTTTGCTTGCTTGCCAAGTTTGCAAATAAATCTGCAATATAAACAAAGCAATGTGAAAGCAGATCATGCATTTTGGATAGTGCTGAACAAATTATGCAGCACTTTACAAATACAAATTGAGTATATCCTGAAAGAATCATTTGACTAGTTAGGTATTGTAATAACTTTGGCAGTTGAACTTATTTTTGGAAATGTCATACCAACTTAGCAGGAGAAACAGAGGAAAAAGCAAAGCTAAATATTAATTAACAGATGTTACTAATTTCTAAAGTTACTTCAATTTCATTGCAGTCCATTGTTGTCTAACTGTTCTGTTACTATCATGATTTTAAAAAAAATCAATTCAAACTTTACAACAGTACAATTTGGATGAATCTTATTTCTGTTAAGGAAAATCATTTTTTTTTTTATTTTCCTGCCTCCGAAATGGGTGGTATTTTCTAAGTGCGATGAGATTTTTGTAAAACTTCTTTTTTTTTCCTTTTTGCCTAGGTTGGTTATGGCGGTATTGATATATCTGAACTCCCTGACTGAAGATGATTTTCCTAAAAGAAGAACTTCATACATATGAACAGGTTAACCTGGGTACATAACCAATAAGATCATGTACTTTATTTATGCATATTTCACTCCAGAATAACTTCACTGCTGAAAACAATGGCGTCCTTTCATCTGTGGAAGTTATCTTCACAAAAGCTAGGGTTTTTTTTGGTAACGTTTGGATTCATATGGGGAATGATGTTACTGCACTTTACCATCCAACAACGGACACAACATGAAAGCAGTACTATGCTTCGGGAGCAGATTCTGGACCTCAGTAAACGATACATCAAGGCATTAGCAGAAGAAAACCAAAACGTCGCTGATGGGCCATACGTTGGCACGATGACTGCATATGGTAAGTTACTCATCTTTATTGGTTCTGAAATATTTGTTACCTTTGAATTTTGAGTATTATATTTAATTCTTCCAGTTTATGGCTAATCTTAATAGAATCTAATTGGGTAAATATTATACATAAGGCATGGATTCAACCTTTCTATCATATAGGTTGCGCTACAGTTGATGTTGGGAATGATACTGCAATGATATTACGCCACCATCCCTAGGTCCTTTAGAGCCAACTTGAGTTCACCAGAATGCAATCATGATATAGTATTAACTTTAACAAAGGAAACAATTTGTTGATTTTGTTTTTAGTCGTTTCCTAGGATGGTGGATGTCACCAGCAATGTCACTTTTCATGCCCCTCCCTAATTCCTCTAAATATAGTGGTAAGGCACTGCTTTGAACCTGATGCATGTACAACTATTGTGCTGATAGGAAATAAATTCATGAATTTTATTCCATTGATTATTGAATGGAAGGAATAGAGTTCCAAGTCAGGATGCTGAGAGACATGAAGGGGAGTGTGTGTTTTCTGTGTGCCTCCTTTGTCCCTCCAGGTGGTAGAAATGCAGATTTTGAAGAAGTTGTTAGAAGATCCTTACCAAGTTGCTACAGTGCAACTTCTGTGTGGTGTGCACTGTTGCCACTGTGCATTGTTTGTTTGTGGAAGGAGTGAGTGTTTAAGCACTTGATAGAGCAGGTTGTCTTTTGCCTAATGGTTTCAAGCTTCTTGTGTTGTTGGAATCATGCCTATTCTAGCAAAAGCAGAGTATTCCATCACACTGTTGCCTTGTAGATGGTGGAAAGAGTTTGGCATCAGGAGGTGTTACTTACCTCAATTGCTAGTCCCTGTCCTGCGTTTATAGCCATGGTATTTATATGACTGGCCCTATTCAGTTTCTGAGCAACAATAACCTCCCCCAGGATATTGGGAGATTCAGCAATTAATAATGCCATTAAATGTCAAGAGGAGATTAAATTATTTATTGTTGAAGTTTGTAATTGCCCAGTACTTAAGTGATATGACAGTTACTTGCTATTTATCACCCAAATCTGGATGTTGTCTAGGTCTTGCTGCATTTGGAAACTGGCTTCTTCAATATCTGAGGAGTAACAAATAGTTCTGAATAAATGTGTAATCATTGGTGAATATCCCCATTCTGATCTTTTTTATGTTGAAACTAATGGCCACTGAAGCAGTTGAAATTGCTTGGGCCAAGGCCTGAGTAACTCTTGCAGCAATATCATGGAATTCAGATGAATGATCTCCAACAATCCTAACCATGTACCTTTTTGTGACACACATCTTCAACTGGTAGAGAGTTTTCTTCATGATCTCCACTGACATCAATTTAGCCCCTTGATGCTAAACTTATCCAAATTTTGCCTTGATGTCAAGGGCAGTCACAATCCCCTCTCCTTTCTGCAGTTTTTAGTGTTTTATCCCTGGATGATATAGCCATCCCTCTTTATTCCTTTTTTGAAGTCCAGTGGGTAGAACTTTCTTTGGTTCATGAGATCAGCAAGTAGAATTTCTTTGCAGATGAGGAATAGTAAGTTTCTACAGGTATTTAAAGTTTAAGAATAAATTTTAACGTTGGTCCTGTAGAGAGATTAGGGAGTTGATAGTAGATGAGTAGGAAACAGGATGAAATGATCAAATATTTTACTTTGTTCTTCACTATAGAGAATATAAAAGAATTCCAATAGCAGCTGAAAATCAGAAGGTGGAAGAAGGAGAGGAACTTGTTAAAATTTAGTACTACTTTCCTATTGATTCTAAGTAAACTGATGGAGCTGTCTAAGTCCGTATACTTGTTGGATTTCATCCCAAAATTTTCACGTGTTAATGAGGTAGTAGATGTATTGGTGTTAATTCTGTAAAGCTTGATTGTTTCTGGAAATGTCCTATGAAACAAGAATGAAGTGTATATATAACCCCTCCACTGAAGAAGGGAAGGAAATTATTGCCAGTTAGCTTGACATCTGTAATGGGGAAAGTGCTAAAAATTATTGGGAGGGAGGTTGTAGCTGAGCAGTTCAGAAAACCTCAGTAATTAGGAAGATTGTGAAACCAATTGTTTAACCAACTTATTGACTTTGACTTTGGGTCATACAGCACAGAAACAGACCCTTCAGTCCATGCCGACCAAGTTTCCCAAACTAAACTCATCCCATTTGCCATATTTGCTTGTAAACCTTTCCTATTCATGTTACCTATCCAAATGTCTTTTAAATGTTGTAACTGTACCTACATCTGTTACTTTCTCTGGCTGTTTGTTCCATATTTGAACCACTCCATGTGTGGAAAAAGTTGCCCCTCAAGTCCCTTTTTAAAAAATCTCTCCTCTTTCCCCCTAAAATTTTGCCCTCTGGTTTTGAACTCCCCAACTGTAGGGAAAAGACCTTAGCTGTTCACCTTTATCTATGACTCATATGACCCTTATAAATCTTTAAGGTCATCCTTGAACCTCCTATCCTCCAGTGGAAAAAGTCCCAGCTTATCCAGCCTCTCCTTTATAACTCTACCTCAGATAACAACATTTTTTTTGTAAATTTTTTTTCTGTACCCTCTCCAGTTTTTTAATGTCCTTCCTACAGTAAAACTACCAGATCTGTACACTACTCCAAAAGTGGCCTCACCGATGTCCTGTATAGTCTCAACGTGATGTCCCAACTCCTAAACTCTGAGCAATGAAAGCAAGATGCATCTTACTGCTTAAAGAAGAGTCTGCAGGTGTGCTGTACTTAAATTTTAGAATGTATTCAATAAGTTGCCAAATAAAAGGTTATTACACCAAGAAGGAGCTTATGATGTAGGAGATTGGCTTTGTGACCTAGAACCTTCCCTTGCTCTCACCGTGGGAGTGGGGGTCTGAGTTGGCAACGGTGACCCCCGTAGAAGTTGTTGCCTCAGTTGTGAGCACTGGGCACACAAGGTGTCGGGTGACCAAGTCCCCTCATCCTGATGGAGGAACTCCAGGATATCTTTTTCCAGCAGAAGCTTAGTCATATAGAGTCCATTAAGCATTGAACAGTTGGGATTTCTTTTGTTTCAGCTTTTGTCAGCATGGAGATTAAAACCAAATCCAACAATTGACAGGAATGTGAAGTGATGATATCAAGGTTTCTTTCAAGGCATCATTAGGGAGTTGAGAAGTAAAGAAGCCTTTTCTTCCAATTCCTGCTGCTCTTGCAGAGGTGGTTGTAAGGTTTTGATTCTGCGCAAGCTGGATGTGGAGGTGATCCTTTAGACTTGTGCTAAGGGCATGCTATTCGTGTTTACGGACCCTGCAGAGGATGTGTCAAGAGACAACAAGGTGCAGAGCTGGATGAACACAGCAGGCCAAGCAGCATCGTAGGAGCGGAAAGGCTGACGTTTCGGGCCTAGACCCTCCTTCAGTGTGTCAAGAGGTCTACTCTGCAGCTGCATTCATAAGGATCAACTAGAATAAATGTAATGAACTACCGGTTGGTACGTAGAAAATTTGTCCCTGCTGTTGGAGCTCGGGTGGAGAATGACTGATTCCTCTAACTAGGAGTCTAGCCTTGCCTGCTGAAGAATCTGACCAGTGAATTGTCAAGAGGCAGAACCCAAGGTGTCTATTCACTTAGTATGCTAGACAGAACTTCCATCTTCTATCCGCCTCCCCTTCTCTCCCTATTTATTTCAGAACCCCCTTCCCCTCCCCCATTTCTGAAGAAGGGTCTAGGCCCGAAACAGCAGCCCTCCTGCTCCTCTGCTGTTTGGCCTGCTGTGTTCATCCAGCTCTACACCTTGTTATCTCAGATTCTCCAGCATCTGCAGTTCCTACTATCTCTCTACTTCAAGTATTGTCTTGCAGGGTTGAATAATGGTCATAAACCAGCTGAATGCTGCCATGCCACAGTACCAGCTGGCCACTTCGGTCCTTCCCCAGGAGTTTGTCACCAAACGTACCACAAAAATTCAACTCCGTATTGCTGTCCCAGAAAAATTAGGTATTAAGTCTCCCACTTAGGTAGGGTGGTCAGGCATCGGCGAGTATCTGCACCCAGATAGTAACCTTCCATCTTTTAGACCCTTCTGGAATGTTGTTTTTACATTTTGCCATCTCCAAAGTTGTGCACTGTGACCCGTTACTTCCATCAGGTGTATGGCCTCCATTCCAGCATACAGTTTCAGTTTATGGAGTGGACAGGCCTTCAGACCTCCTACCAGGAATTTCTTGCAATTTAATTTTACCTGATCAAGGCTTGGGACATGGTCAGTTCTCACTGGAGTGTTTGCCATGTGAAGATGCCAGCTGAGTAAGGTGGCTGTTGCTCAAGAACTAAGTACCTTCACCAGTGCACTGTTTCTTTGCGAAAGAGAGTTCAGGATGCTGCACTGACTAGACTTGAATGTGTTGAATGGCGCCGGAGTGGGCTGGATGACGCTGGAGCAATTGATTGCCACCCACCCTAACAGCCAACGTCCAACGTATGGCTTGAACCATCCAGAGCCTCCTTACTGTGGTGCTCGGCACAAATGCGCAGGAGATTGAGATGGTTCAAGCAAGCAGTAAGCTTCTGGATGAGCTGACCCCTGTCTCTTCAGAATTTGACAGTGGCCCCAGATACCGAGTGATCCTGCACCCAATTATGTGAGCCAACTCCAAGAAATTTCCTCATGCCCTTTTAAAATGGCAGTTTCCTGCAGGAGATAATGCTGCACACTTTCTACTTACTCAGTTTTTGTTTTCCATCTGACTATACCTTGTCACAAGCACTTTACATTCTGCTGCAAGATTCCCAGTGGAGGGCCCTCTATATGTGGCAGTCCAATACAATAAATATTTGAGCAGATTCATTTTGATGCCAAGCCATATCACTTTTGTGAATGAATGAAACAATATTTTGTTTATTTTAGTTGTTTGTTTGCAGCTCCTGTTAATTTCTTAAATGGACTTCTGCCAAATTTTATGGTTGCATTTCAGCCAATGCTGCTAAACAACACAAATTTTTCAGTGAGGGATGGACCAATTGGAG